GAAATATGACAGAGGGGGTCAGAATTATTGCAAACAGCTGTATATGATATATATATATATGTAATTATATTTTGAAACTAACTTATTGCGTTGTTTCAAATGCTATAAATTACTGTTTGTTTTTAGAAAATTCAAATTCTTCTTGACGAAGCTTAAAACATTTGTAAATAAATTTAGAAAAGTATTGGATCGTGTTTTCGTTATTTGAGTGAAATAAGTCAAATGTACATGTTGAATAATCTGATTGGTTATTAGTAAAGAAATCAATCTTTTCATAAAATTCTTTGCGTAAATCATCATAAAATGGGCAATGATATAACATATGAATTTCTGATTCAATTTTATGATGATTGCACAAGTTACACACAAGTTGCACAAGTTAACGGTCAATTTTAGTTTTGTTATCGTATGTTATGGTATCGTYCGCATTTTTAAAACACGTTTCTAATTATTATTGATAGACCTTCTACACAGCATAAAGCGAATCAAAAAAAGGAAAGTCGTGGAAGTCGTGGGAAGACCTGGTGGGTCAGTACCTTCGTGCCACTGAGAAAAAGACAGAAGGGAAAATTCGGGAGGCAAAGGGCGGTGTACTTTTTATCGACGAGGCATACCGTCTTACCCCAAGGAGTGGACTACGTGAGGGTTGCCATTAACCAACTGACGTCGTCCATGGAATGTGGGGATCCTGTGATGATCTTTGCAGGGTATCCCAAGGAGATGGAGGACTTCATGAAAGTTAATCCTGGTCTAAAGTCAACAGTGAAGTACATATTTACCTTCCCTAACTATTCCTAAAAATTCTTTTAAGGCAAATTAAGGAGAACGGCTTTCTCTATGACGGTGATAGAAGTTCTTTGTCTTACATGCAGAACCCAACAAAATGGCAGGCTAATCACCATTGTCTTTCCAGAAGCAGTCATTTCATAGAGTGACAGACTGTCATTTGAGGTATCTATTGTCATCTTGCAGGATATGGACATCCCCCATGGGTGCCAGATGTTTAGAGGGTCACCCATGATCGAATGTGCGGAAAAAAAAGGTCCTGAATGTCCTGAAGAACAGACAAGGGTCCAATGCCAAGAACAGAGAAAGTCGCCAGTATTTTTAAAACCGTGAAAGACGAGTAATTTGGAGCGTGTGTAAATAACTTTAATTTTACTGAAAGACRTAAAATACTAATATCTCCTGTGAAATATTTCATTGAAATCGTGTGTTGCATCCACATTATTCAATAATATTTAGTATTACTGTGCGGGCCGAAAAGAGTAAGCGCATCGAAATATTTCAGGAATGTTATTGATCAYTGACAAATCAGAAGCGAAATCAAYGTCAAGCAAATTTGATCAAAACTTCAACGTTATAAACTAGTATATCATCCAAAAAATAAAAGCGCAAATAGTACAAGTTTGTTGTTTAGGATAAACATTTATGTTTTCCTTTTTTTRCCAGCTGTATATAATAATGTTTCACGCTTGAACCGTTTGCTCAACKGAGTATTTTTCAATGAAAAACCAAAAAGCCTCTTATCTGCACCAATCATTCACATCACTAAAAAGTAAATAAGGAAGTGAAATAAAATAAAAAATTATTGTTACAAATTATTTGCTGAATAAATGTAGAAACAATTATTTTAACTGTTAAGAAGTTCCCAAATCTAATTTGTATTTTTTTGTACCACAGAGTAATACTGAATCATGAAGGAGAAATAATTGTATCACGGTGTAAAACTGACCCATGAAGGTGAAATAAATGTATCACGGTGTAAAACT